AATGGGGGCTAGAATGACTAAGGCTAAGAAAAAAAAGCTCTCTTAGCCAGAAAATGTTTCATTTTTATATGGTGTGAACAAATCACCGAAGTTCTATAAAAAAGACTATAAAAATAATTTCTTTGTTAAAAAGTGCTGGAAATTATTGGGATAATTGGAAAATTTTGACTACGGACCATATACTGGATACATAATATACTCAGATTAAATTACCTGAGCATTCTGTTGTGGTTATGTAAGAGAATATACCTGTTCTTAAGAGGCAAAAGGAAGAAGCAGTAAGGGAAAAGCATCATGATACCCGCAACTTTCAAATGGTTCCGGAAACACACACACACACACACAGAACAATTTAAGAAAAGTTCATTGTACTAATACTGCAACTTCTCTGAAGGTTTAAAAGTCCTCAAAATAAAAATATAAGAAAATAGTATAACATATCTTGGGCTGGCACTTATAAAGTGTTAATCGGTTAGAAAAGATCAGTCAAATGTTCAATTTCATTTTATGAAATTATATGCTAATGGCACTGGAGAAGAGAAGGAAAGGCTTCAGATTCATCCCTCAAGTATCCATGGTCCACTGCACATACTATGTAGCACTATTTATTATTAAAAAAAAAAAAAAGGCCCACTAAATCATAGAATTGTCAACCATCACTTTTGAGGCTTAATTCCCTCTGGCCTGTATAATTCATTCCTAGATATGCAACATGATACACCTATACATTTACAGAAACACCACCAATCCTCAACGCAGACTGGTAACCAAAATGATCAGCAAAAGAAATGGAGAAGGGCAAAAAGGGACATGCGATTCACTGCTCAGATCATGAATAGTATCTCTTTTATGTTTAGAAATTGAAATTCTGTATTTGAAAAACAAAACTATTACTAAAAGGATGCTAACTTATGAAAACACTTACCTTGCCCATCTTCTTTGAACACCAATTCTCTTTTTTCGGATTCATTTTCGTTCTTACCCCTACGTCTATTTTTACCTCCTTTACCTAATGGTTTTAAGTAAAGAAAAAGACATTATTTGCAAAACAGTAGGAAAAGAAACTAAACTAAATTGAGGCATCTAGAACAGTTAAAAAAATCACTTACTTTAAAAATTCAAATTTAGTCACACAGCATTATATTAAACATATACATATTGTCACTCCCCTACCCTTCTTGGAAATTCCCTTTTGGAATATTTTTGACATCAAATACAAACAAACCAAAGCAGATATTATATAAAAGTATATAGATCCTTTTCTGAGGACATCTGCGTTCAATGACCAAACTGCCCTGGATCATAAAGTCACTTGATTGACTACACAGCTCAGTGAACCTACAGTGGCCCACATGGGACAAGGTGGGAGATAATGGGTCTTGATCCATTTTATAAAAATGCCTTGTCTCTCTTTTACCTGACTGCCCCCTCACCCCTACCCCAATGAAAGGTGTGAGTATAAGTAGGAGATGACTGAAAAGAAAAGATAATGCAAGAAAACAAAAGAAAAAAAAAAAAGGTAAAGTTATAGCTATTGGAATGGGACACACTGATTTTGTGGTAGTGGAGGGAGAGCAACAAGTCTGTTAAACGCTGAGTTTGAATTTTATCCTATTGCTGCAGGATACATTGAGCAAGGTATTTGAAGTTAAAAAGCAAGGTACTAACTGCCTGAACTTGAAAGCAACTAAGATGTTCTTTGCTAGGTGAACAAATAAACTGCGGTACAATGGAATATTATCTATAATAATGAAAGAGTAATATGCTAATTAGACCCGACAAGTCGGGGCTGCGAGGGAAGCCAGTGCCAGCAGCCGGGGGGAAGCCTACTCTTGCATGCGTGCATTGGGCCTCTAGTTCAGCAATAAAAAGAACTACCAAGTCCCCCAAAGACACGGAGAAACCTTTACTGTAATGATAGATACATATCACTATACATTAGTCAAAACCCATACAATGTACCACATAATGAACCTATAAGCTATGGACCTGAGATGATAATGCACCTAGACTGGCTCACGTAAGATGTTTATAGAAAAAACTGGTGTGGAGAAAGTATATGGGAACTTTGTACTTTCTGTTTATTTTTCTAGAAATACAAAACTGCTCTAAAAAATAAAGTCTATTAAAAAAACAACAAAAAGCAAGGTGCAATAGGGGCGTAATCAACAAAATCCAAACTGTGGGGTCATTTGTATAATAAGACAATCTGTTTTCTTCAATAGATACATTATGAAAAAGAAAACATGCATGGATGGGGAACCTACCCATTAAGAGACTTAAATGACATATCAACCAATGGCAATGTGTAGCCCATCTCTGGATCTTGATTTGGTGTGGATGGTGCAAGTTTTTAGCCAGGAATTGATGGTGCCTGGGGCCAGGACATGAGTACATGAAGGTTCATTATACTAGTCAACTTTTACATACATTCAAAATTCATCCTACTGTAAGTTTAAAAACAAATACAGCAAAGTGAAGAAGAGCATAAAGCCGCCATTGATATTAAAAAAAAAAGAAATTCATATTCACATCTGCTTTTATATATACATAAAATATCTTTGGAAGGGCATATATAAAAAAGTTAACAATACCTGTGAGAAAGAGAACTAGATGGCAATGGGACACATTTAGGAAGAGAGATTTCACTTTTTATACTTTTTGAAATTTGAATCATGAATATATTTACTATTCAAAAAATTTTCATTAAAAAAAACTTCAACAAAAAGCAGAGGTATGACATTCCTCTGGGTGAGAAAACTGGTCAGAAGGTCCCTGTCTTTATTACACGTACAATGAAACAGGCTGTGCTTAGTCATGAAGAGGAAAAGTAACTTGGAAGCAACCAAGATGTTCTTTGGTAGATAAATGGATAAACTGTGATACAATCATACAATGGAATATTATTCCGAGGAATGATAAAATAATTATTTCTGAGATGGAAACAAGAGAATTATGGCCAGATGTAGAAGGAGACAGGAATAAAGGATACACGGAGCTAAAAAAAGATCTCTTTCAGCCTCTGTAAAATATGGGAGTTAGAGAGTTAGAACAGAAGATACAAATACCTCCATTTAGGACACCACACTATCTACTGGTGTCCTTAAAAAATCTGTCATTCTCCATGGCCCCCTTGCTTTTCATACTTTAAATAATGACACTGATCATTTCTCAACTCTCCTTTTCCCGACTTCTGAAGGATCACTTGTACTATTCTTGACCTTTTATCAGCCCCCCCCTTCATTATGCCTATCCATTTGGAGCTTCATTCAGTTCAAATTCCTTCTGCTCACCCACTTTCTAAGGAAATTTATTTTTCTCTCACCTACCACTTCAATGTTAATAATTTCACATCCCAGCCCCCTATTTCAACTAAGCCTTTATCTCCTATTTCTATTGGCCTCAGTACATTTCTAGTAAATGGGTTACTGTCATCTCAAGCTCAATTTTATTCAAAACCCCATTTACTTTCTTTTACAAAGCTGGTCCTTAATCAACATCCTTGTTTCTGTTAGTGATAACATAACTACCTTACAGAATATAAGTCTCTCAACCTATAAACACGACACCAACCTATCTGTCAATACTTCTATTCCCTTATGCATCAAGTAGACTACTCACTGTTCTAGTATCTCCTCCCTAACAAGCCTATGCCTATGAGATAGGTATTATTTTGTCTTTATTTCACAAGATAATGAATGGACTTCAAAAGGTTAAGTGACTTATCCAAAGCTATATCACGTGACCTGAGAGTTCAGATGTCAGTCACCAGACACTATGCTCTTAACCACTATGCAACCACCCACTTACTTGTCACAATCACCTTATGAGGTAATAAGTCATTTACCTCCAGTTTTCCAGTGAGTTTACCTAAGCCCAAAGAAGTAACTTACTTAACATTAGTCCCCCACATTAGGGTATCTCTACATACCATTTTGTCCCATTCCAGACCCTGGCAGTCATTTCCAAAAATGGCTATAAGTGGTAGTGAGATTAAGGGACATATGGGAAGTGTGGAAGCAGCAAAAGGTTCATAACCCAAACAGAATAAAGAGTGTGCACTTGGCCACTCTAAAGACAGACACACTTAACTTCTTGCATCATCATGTGCACTTACCCTGTCCTGGGTACAGTCTCACAATGCTCTGTGCAATTGTTAGGCGGGCCTCTACAATTTCCTGACTCACCAGAGTCCTTAGAATTCAGTATCTGAGGCATTCTTAGGGCACACCAAAACTAATTCCCTAAGAAAAGTACCTTTTGCTTCAAGCCACTAATCATGCCAGGTCTTCAAACTAAAGTGAAAGCTCCATTAGGACAAGAATCATACCTACTTTGTTTGCTGAGTTATATACCCGAGCTGGCAAGTCTTTGAATAAATCAGTCAAGAGTAGCCCACATATTCCTAAAGGAGTGGTAATTTTAAAATCAAAGGTAGTGAGGCCCTCAAAATGTGGGAGCACCTTCCCCCAAGGTAAGGAAGGAAGACACAGAGGGCTTTAACTGAATGTGTTGTAATCCTCAAGTTTGGAGTAATGGATTCCCAGGTGTTCATTGCATTATCTATAATTTTTGTACGTCCAAAATGTTACTTATAAAAGTGATTCATCACTTGTCAATTTACCAGAATTAACCATACCCGGATCACCTCCCTATTTTATTGCCATGTAATGGAATGAACTTTAAAGGAAGGAGGCTAGTGAACTAGATGTGATTTAATGCAGAAGTCCTATCCTTGGAACTAAAGGGTAACCTATTATCCACCTAAGGGTGGACTCAACAGAAGGGAGGTGACTTAATCCAACAAATATTTATTGAGCATCTACTAAGTGTCAAGTGCTAGCAATCCAATGTTATTAAGACAGATACTATTACTGCCCTTTACAGCTTACAGTCTAGTGAAGGAATTGGAAATCTCATGCTAGAAATAAAAGTGAGAATAAGATACCCATTAGAGTGATCTGGTTACCATCTCATAGGGAATAAAGGATTACATAGGTTTCAAGAAAACTATGACTTTTAAAAAACCCTATTTTATCACCCAATCTTTCCAAAAATTATTAGCAGTAAAATCCTTGCTCCAAAAAGGACCCACAAGTTAGATTTCTAAGGGCAATAACTGTAGCATGCCCTGAGGGAACTGCAGTAAATCTTACAGATAACTGCAACTAATCTTACACAGAACTGCAACCAAAAATCCCAAGGGATAAAATGAGTAGTGACAGCTACAGAGGAAATGAGGTAAAACGCTGTAGCCAGCTGTGAGGTAGAAAAGAGAACGGAAGTAGGCCAGGTCAGGGCAGGGGGTCTCAGGATGAATAACCAAAGGAAACTTCTTGTGGGTTCTGAAATAAGCTCCTCTTCTGTCAGAAACAGTTTTCCCAGTTTCTACTTGAACAATTTCCTTTGAGAAATTAGAGGGATGCTAAAAAAAAAAGCAGAAACACCCTTAAGTCTAAAAAAGGGAGAATTTCTTTAGGACTGTTCTGCTTTTACCTAGACTAGGCTTTTCATTTTGGAAATTCCAAATAAACTTATCCTCAAGTCTGGTAACTTGTGAATGTTTAACTTCAGAATGGAGGGAACTTATTATATATATAATCTGAAACAAAACTAGAAAACTTGGATAAATATGGAACAAGTGTGCGCGCGTGTGTGTGTGTGGGGGGGGGGGGGGGGGGAGTTAAACCCCGTAAAGGGATGGGGAAGGGTGTATCTCTAGAGATGAACCTCAAAATTGCATCCAGTTTTCGCCCACTGTTTACAAGAGAGATGTAGTCTCAACAATATTCAACTTCTGTCCATAAAGAAACCCATTTAGGGGTACCTGACGGTCACTAAAGCAAGCATCACCCTCTGGAAGTTAAGAACTGCTTCCAGGGTTTAACTCCCCTTGCCCAGGACGGCCAAAGCGCCCATTTGCGAACCCCACGCCGCCCCAGGGGAGGTCTCTCTATGGGTCCCCACCACGCCGAGGTCACTGTGGCGCGAATCAGGAGCAAAAGCCCACATTCTCCGGCAGGAGGCCCTACAAAAATGGCGTCGGCTCCACCCCAATGTGACCAAACTGGAAGACAGGAGTAACTTCCCAGCTCCTCTCCCGAGCCCAGGAGGGCGTCCCAATCGCCCAGCCACCTGCAGGCCGGGCGGAGAGGAAGGTCACGGCAGCCTGGGATATCCCGAAGCCGCAAGGATGGCCGGGAGACCCGGCAGAGAGGAGTCGTGGTCCTGGGGTCCAGGCGGCATTACCTTTATTCTTGGGCATGGCGGGAGCAGAGGCCTCGCGGCAACTCCGACTCTTACTCGGGCGGCGGCGGTGGCGGCGGCGGCGATTCCTCCAAGGGGGGCCACACGCACGGCCGGCAGCAAATGGCGTCGCATCTGCTTGCGTTGCTTCTCCCCGCCTCCAACGCCGCCTGGGTCCGCCCCCTGTCTCTATTGCGCAGGCGTGGCCGCCTGATCCCTCCCCTATTGTTAAAGCTGAGCGACACGCGCTCCGGGAGTGTTCGCGGAACACGTAGGGGGCGGGGCCATGAGCAAGGAGGAGGCGGAGTCAGGGAGGAAATGGGAGGGGCCCAGGCTTCCTAGTAAAGGGCTGGTTCAGGTAGCGCCCCCTGCTGGCTGACACCAGACTTCTGCTGCTTTGTGACAAACCAGCCTCTCAGGGTTTGAGCAGCTGACTCATCAACTGTAATCTCATCTGTTTTAACGTGGCTCTTTCACCCGACCTAGCAGGTTGGCAGTCTGAAGGAATGGGCAATGCTTTCCTGCCATCCCCATTACCAAAGCATAATATCTGCATGACGTTATTACTTTATAAATGTCTTCCCTACCTCACTGTAAACCATATCTGTTGCTTTACCATTACCAGCACTTAGCAGAATGTCTGGCACATAGTAGGTGCTCAGGAAGGAAAAAAAGGAGGAAGGGAGGGAGGGAAGACCTAAATTCAGTGTTATGGGCTGAATTGTGTACTCCCCAAATTCATGTTGAATTCCTAACCCCTAATACCTCAGAATATTTTTGGAGATAGGGTGTTGGACCCTTGATCTTGAACCAGACTCCAGAACTGTGACAAAATAAATTTTTGCCAGTCTGTGGTATTTTGTTATGGCAGCCCTAGTAAACTAATATGCTATCATAATATAAAACTACTACAAATGTCTACTGAAAAGGAAAGGATAACTGCAGGCCTATAACCCATTCCCTCTCTACCAGCAATCAATGATCTCAAATTTCCTTTTAAATGTGCTAAAGACATTTACTAGCAGAAATAAAACAAAAAGTCCGTATCTCTAAAATGCTTTTAGCAAGATACACTTGGTCTATAGAGATAGCTTCTTGTAAAACTTGTAATTTATGGATTTATGAGGCATGGTTGGATGGAGAACGAGGACTCAACATTTAAATTGTGTAATTAATGAGGCATAAAAAGGGGGTGTTGCAAAACCAAATGACTCCCTTTGTTTAAACAATGTCTCCACATACATCGCACAGAAGAAAACTTGTTCTTTAATTTTGAATCAATTCAAAATGTACCATTATGAGGGAGAAAAGGGTTGTTTTGGAGTTAAATCTGATAATCTTGGACTTCTCCAAGAAAAGAGTCTCATCTGTGCCTGGTGATTACCCTGTATCCTTTGAATGATTAATCAAGTTTGGTATTGGGTAATATCTATGACTGATGTGAGTCTTATTTAACAAACTCTTTAGGCTAACGAAAACTTTGCATAGAAAACATAGTTCGTACTTCTTATTAACTCAGAGACATTCCTGTTTTAAGTTTTACCAATCCAATTTGATAAATTTATACCTTGGATAGAATAATTTGATAATATGAAGAGTCAACATGTAATTGCAATAACCTGATAAAGGAACATACATGCATTTGTTTGAAACTTTATTATATAAATTTTCGTTTCTTTTAAAGATTACAAAACCTGTTCTGTGACAGGAATACAAGCAATATTGTTCCAGGATTATTCATGGATACATCTGAAAGAGCTTAGATTACACATTAATAGTATGATTTGAAAACTTCCCCAGATTAGACTCTTAAGTAAAACAATTTAAAGTATTCAGTGATATGTAATCCTTTACAAGCATTTCATAATTATGGCAGCAGTGCCAAGCATCTGATACGATTTAACCACCAATAAAAGGTACAATACATAAGAACTCATGATATGGTACCTTGGGCTTCTGGCATGCCTTACTAGAGAGAAACTAGTAGAAAGTAAGATGATATATAATAGTAGAAAAATACTTGTGATTTTTTTTAAAAACTATCTAAGTAGATGCCCACCCCATTCCCACCCAAAAATGCAAAATAATTACATCCCTTAGGTGTATACTTTCCCTTCTGCGTAGGGTAACATTTAAGATAAACCTAATACACATACATAATTTTAAGAATTAAAAACTCATCACCCATAATTATTAAGAATGCTAAGAAATGGCAATACCTTGAAGCATTTTTCGATTAAAAAACAAAGCTTTAGATGGAATACTACACTTAGAGGAACACAAACCCAAACCTTTATCCTTATGCCCTTGCTTGGTATTTAAAAGTTCTACTTTAAATACTTGTTTGAAAAACTCAGTATACAGTTCATTCAGTACTATAGTGATAATAGGAGTAAAGATTTTCACTTCCATTAGATAATGAACTAATCTACTTAGAGGACTATTATAGCAACTCTCCTCTCACATACGTTTACGTATATTGTACTCAAATGGTATGTGCTCTAAAGAGGTTTTCTTGAGGTTTGAACCTCTGAACTTAGTTTCTAAATTTTCCTTTCCACTAATCTCTATTCAATGTCATATACTTTGCTAGTTGCTCTGGGAGAAGTCATGGACATTTAAACAGCTTATCATGCACTTCAAGGTTACATGGAAAAATAATGAGGAAAGTGCCTTAAGAGGTAGGAAGTAGGCTCTTATCCCAACCCTTGGTATGCCCTGTTATGAACAGTTAAAAGACTGGAATCAAAGTGGTAAATGTGAGACTAATAGTAATACAAGGCTTAAGAAAATTAAGTCAACTTAATTACTAGGATTCTTTGAGAACACTCACATTGGAACCAGTTACAAGTCACTCGATCACACAGAATACAGCAGTGTCAAAAATACATAAAGCACACTGTAGATATAAATTCTTCTTGGCCATCCATACTTAGGTATTATCACTCTGTAGATTCTTCACTAGAAAAAGTGGTTAAGCTTGGCTCTGCAGAATACCACAGTCCCAAGAAAGTGAATTTCATTCCTTCATTAATTGGTCTCCACCAATGGTCACTTGGGGAGACCAGCAACATGTAAGCAATCTGGAGGTGAAAAGAGGGCTATTTTCATTTGTTGAAATAAAAATAGAGGTAAGTCAACCTCTTTGTGAATTAAATAAGGCTCAAAGTATACATCCAGTTTGTTAGTCACATGGAGTTGGACCTTTCGGAGGGACAGAACTCTAAAACTAGATTGGAACCTCCTGGTTTAAGCACCAAGGGTCAGCCATGAAACCCATCGAATTTGTTAATCAGACAAAACAGACCTTTTCTGACCCTTTACATTCCTGAGATATCTGTCCTAATGTCTTCATAAATCTCAAGTGCTTGATACCATCGTTAAGAGAGAATTTTCTCTATAAAATACAGTTAAGAAAACTGAAAAATTTTAGGACATTTATAATAAAAGCCAGGAAATAGAGAATGTCAGTCATATTGAGATGTGTATTGCTGACTTCCATGGTCATTAAGTATATCTGTACCAAGGCCCCCAAAGCTTGAATGTTTTTCTGCTCTCATCTCAGGCTGGACCTATCCCAGCCCCTTTCCTACCCAAACTATTCTGTCTATTCATGAAGCCTTTGCACCGCTCTACCCCTTCAAGTCTTTCCTGGGCCGAGGGTGCAGGGCACAGGTAACAGGCCAATCCCACCTCCCATGATGTCTCCTGGCCCATACCACTTCTTAAAAACAGATGGGAAATGGTTGACCCAAATTTGCTCTTTGCAGCCCACCAAGTGGGAAATGTGGAATCTCCTGCCATACACACACCACACCCTCTCCAGACTCTAAGTTGACTTTTCCCACCCATCAGCTTCACAGCATCTCGACTCTGCCTTGTCAAACATTACTACACTTTTGGACTTTTGGGGTTGCTTATGAATAAATGAATCCATATCAAATCTGTTACACACAAGGGTCTATTGTACTTAAAAGAAGACATCAACTCTATAAATTAGAGGGAGTGGAAATAATTTATATAAAAAAATTAAAAGGACAAAAACTTACCTTAGTTTAATATCATCATTTGCAAGGGAAGATACAAAACACATGGTAGTATGATCTGTATTTTCCAGTATACGCTTGGCAATGCTAAATGCAATCTACCATTTAGGATATTATTTTTAATTATAAGCTAAGAGGAGGTTTGTGAAAGTAGCCTGATAGTTTAGTTCCTTCTTTCACATTGAAGTATCTTTAAGATTGAACTAAAACCTCCTGGGAGAAGCCTGGGAAGCAGCAACACTAACTGGTGAAGGCCTCACTACCACAACTATAGGGGCCTGGAGGAAATGGAGGTGAAGAAATTGATGGAAATGTTAGCCCAGCACAAGCACTACATGTAGAGCACACTGTTGGCCAAGTTTGTCTGCTGTAAATCAAAGGCAATACGAACACCAGAACCACAGATACAATAAATTATGCTCACGAACTGCTTTTTAGGCAGAAAGCCTTCAGTTTTGTGAACATATAACTTGCTTTTTTCCAACAAAACTGGCAGTTGGACTAGGCAAAGAAGGCAATTATCTTTGAAAGCAATAAATTTGAGTTCATATACCAGTAGAGGAGTGCTCCAAGAAATATGTAGTTTTTGAATAACTCAGCTTCTGGTTGGCTGATAATCTGAAGGGAAGGCAGCATGGTGTTATGGGGGGGAAAAACTAAATGGAAAGTTAAGAATTCTAGTCTTTGCTTTGGGTCACAGGTTCTTTACATGCAATACGAGAAAGTTGGACTAGATGACTTATAAGGGTTTACACATTTACTTCTGATTCTAAAAGACTACAATGGGAAAATACACCTAAGCAATTATGGAATAGCATCAGTGTAAAAAATCTGAGAATATATGCCCAGATTTACATTAACATTTTAAAAGCTACAAGAATTTGGGATGACTGGGGTTTAAGACACTGAAAAGAAAGGAAAGAAAGAAAGAAAGAGAGAGAGAGAGAGAGAAAGAAAGAAAGAAAGAAAGAAAGAAAGAAAGAAAGAAAGAAAGAAAGAAAGAAAGAAAAAGGAAGGAAGGAAGGAAGGAAGGAAGGAAGAAGAAGAAGAAGAAGAAAAGGAAGGAAGG